GGATTACAGAAGAATTGATTTGTAAGATTGCCCACAAGTGATACTGTGCAGAAAATTGTGAAATTAGTCTGACTTCTACTGTACAGAAGAATTGATTTGTAAGATTGCACATAAGAATTGATCTAAGTTCTGCTGTTGTGCAAGGGAAGAGGGGAGGAGAACCTGCCGGGAAGCAACATGCTGCGGCGGTGGGGACGAGCTAGGTGGGCTGGGCGCGGCGAGGACCAATCTGGGGCGGCGACGACCAAGCTGGGCGGGGGCGGCTACCAAGCGGGCACAGCGGCGGCCAAGCTGGGCGGGCGCGGCAGCAACCAAGCGGGCGCAGCAGAGGCCGAACTGGGCACCTGGGATCGGGACCGAGCGCCTGGACGAAGGGGGCGAGTGCCTGCAGGCGGGGCCCGAGCGCTTGGACGAAGGGGATGGCGCGAGCTCCTGCAAGAGGAAGACGGCACGCTGGAGAAGGAAGACGGGCGAGCTCCCGTAGGAAGAAGACGACGCGAGCTCTGGAGGAGGAAGATGACTGAAATTTCAAATCGAGGGTAAAACTGTCCATTTCCCCATTTGTCGGCTGTGTCTGAAAATTGTAAACGCTCTTATAAAAGTTTACAGAGGGAGTACTTTAGCCCCGCGGCAAAAGCGGTTTCTTTCTCCTGCCTGCGTGTGGGAGTTTTCTTTTATATAAATTTTTTACAGTGAAGAGTGAACACGCAGAGTTTTTTGTTCTTCGAATAAGTGAACACGCAGAGTTAGTGCTACTATGTAGGATTTGTGGGCAGGGCAGGATTTGCAAAAATATATGCATGGTTAAAATCCCCGGGAGCTTTCACATGCTGCAAAATACTCCCTTTGTGTCATGATATAGACGTTTTTTTGACACTACCACGTACTAGTACTGTTTTCGTCTGGGTTTGTTGAGCTCTGTTTTCGGCGTTCTTCCTAGAAAACAGGGTAGAGTAGGAGAGCAGCATTGGTACGTGGGTACGTACCTGAGCAATGCTACACCTACATAGCAATCATACGTAAAGTAACGTAATGGCTTAGGTGGTATTTTTCACTTGGAGGAAATTAAGAGAGGGACCTTACCCAGTTAGAATTGGGGGGCGGAGGGATTAGCAGTTAGTCTAATCTAATTACATAACAATACATAGGCATTTTACGTAAGTGTAACATTTTTTATACGTACCTGGGTGTCTTTTTTTGTGCGAGTAATAATTTTGAGCTTTATAAAACTTGGGCATTTGTAGAACAGTCGGCAAGAAGATGGTGTACTATTATACTGGATACGAACGGGACATGTGTACTCTGTGGGTCAGGGCTAAGCCCATCAGTATCCACTTCGCCCTCTCGGGTTCACGACGCTGGGTGTTGCAGCGAGGACGCCGATATGAATCGTCGCCAGGCCAGCCGCAGCGAGAGCCCTAAATGATGATTTCAATGAAAAGATCAAAAGAGTAGATCGTGGGCTGCTTTAAGCCATCTCCAACCCACCGATCTATTTTGTCCACCCGCTTCTATTTGGGTTCAAGCGGACAGAAAACATGGTCCAAGACGCCGATTTAAACAGACGGATATTTGTTTTTTATCCATTTTGATTTATTTCTGACTAAAATTTGGGCGTCCATTTGGATATTTGTTTGCGTCAATGCGGACACGCAGTGGACGTCCACGTTGTCCTCCCGTGGCCCGCCCGTCTGTGGCACAACGATCATTGTTCTCTCCCCCCCTTCCACATGCACTACCCCGGCCTCGTATTACTCGTCGCCGCCACCCAGTTTCAGCACTACGTACCCCAGGCCCCGCCTCCGCATCCATCGACGACCCCACCGCCACCGCATCCTTCAATGAGTCCTTTTGCCGGAATATGTGGCCGCTCCCCACTGCCGTCGGGAGCACTAGAAGTCATGCCTACCCAGGGTCACCGACACCGCCGGAGGGCACGTGCTTCGATAGGTCGGCTGCCTGTACGGGGAGAGGGCATTGCCCTTCACCGGCCGTCTCTGCCGCCTCTCGCAAGGTTTCCGACCATTTGCCCCGCCGAGTCTCTTCCGTGCCCACAAGGTACCATGGTGGACAGCTCGGATGATTTTTTTTTACAACAACTTCATATGTTCATCGTCCGATGGTGAAGGGTCGTCAATGAGCACATTGCTAGTCAGCTGCCTATGTTTAGAGGATCGATCCCGGGACATGCTCTGGGGTTGTACCATAACAGAGAGTGCGGCCATTTCCTATGCTATAGGGATTATTTCAAGTTCATTGGCCCACTATTCCCTCCCAAGCTTTTTCGGCGACGCTTCCGGATGGCAAGACTTGTGTTCAACTGTATTTATGAGGGAGTGATGGTGTACGATGATTACTTCAAATGCAAGCATGATGCCCTTCGAAAGATTGGTTTCTCCTTTTATCATAAATGTACTGAAACTGTTCGGATGCTTGCATACGGAAGTTCCGGTGATTTTGTGGATGAGTATGTCCGAGTGAGTCCACATGCTTAGCGTGGGCAAAGCTGTAGTTGCAGTGCTCGGCCCAAAGTATTTGAGAGAACCAAATGATGTGGATACAACCCATTGTTAGCGATCAATGAATCTACAGGCTTTCCAGAAATGCGTGCTAGTAAAGATTGTATGCACTAGGAGTGGAAGAACTGTCCATTTGCTTGGCGGGGGCAATATAAGGGACATGTTTAAGCTCGCACAGTCATACTTAAAGCTATGGCATCACCATATCTCTAGATTTGGCACTCTTTTTTCGGCATGGCTGGTTTTCACAAGGCTTTCCAGTTTTCGCAAGGCTTTCCGAAGGCAACTCCCCAGAGGTCAACTTTGAGGTCGATGACCGCCAACACAACAAGAGATACCACCTAGCTGATGATATCCTTCATCATTGGTCCACTATTGTGAAGACAATCTTCAAGCCCATGGGAAAGAAGAGGGCTAGGTTTGCCCATGAAAAAGAGTGCTAGGAAGTATTTGGAGCGTGCTTTTGGTGTTGTCCAATCTCAATGGCCTATTGTTCAGCACCCTGCTAGAACATGGAGCCCCGAAAGGATGTGGGACCTCATGACTACTTGTGTGATCATGCACAACATGATCATAGAGGACGAGTGTGATGACAACATCTTTGACCAAGGGTGGGATTTACAGGGTGAGAACGTTGAGCCTAAGTTTGAAGCGGCAATATTTACAGAGTTCACACAATTCATCAAGAAATGTCTGAATGGACAACTCACATTCAACAATGATTTGGTTGGGCATACGTGGACTCAGGATATCTCCAAGGCGGACCCTAAAACCTCCCCTATACGTCTGGGCCGCAGTGTTTGAACCTCTTTTGCCATCCAACAGGGACCTGTATATATCCGGTTAGCAGTCCGGACGTACGGATTTCGGTATGCAAGAGACAAACGTGGGCGGTTTTACCGGAGTCCAGACATGCACTTGTCCAATCACATGCATGGTCCCTCTCTTCTCTCTCTCCTCCCAATGGCACATGCATGGTCCTCCTCTCTTCTCTCTCGTCCCAGACACTAAACCACAAATGTCCCACCACATGCATGGTCCTCACTTACTTTTTTCCTCCAAGCCAGATACTTTTTGATTAGCATTGGATGTCTCCCTCCCGTATCATGTCCGCAGACCATGTCCGGATATAAAAATGAGCATATACCGGAGACATTTATGGGTCAGTGTTGGAGATGCCCTCATGTAGGAAACCAATATAATATCTAGCTGGAGAACCAGGGTCGTGTTGTCCTTTGACAAGTCCCTCGGCATCAATCTAGGACCTAGTCACCCTCCATTTGAGTTTATCCTAGTGGATTAGGCCATGTAGGTCAAACATTGGAACTCATGATTTGCGATGCCCGAGTGGCTAGTGACCCGATCCTCATTTAAAGGCTTACTACCTCCAACCTGGTTTATTGGTCTTTTTTGTATTTCATGCCAAAATTTCACCATAGATTTAACGGACAAAATGTTAATGCATTTCATAAGAAATTATACCGTTGGATTCGTATTCAAACATAGTTTCCAATGATACTATTTTTTATGACATGCATTTACATTTTGTTAATTAAATCCACGGCTAAAATTTGGCACAAAATAATAAGCAGACCAATAAATCAGGACGAAGATAGTACCGTGGTTGTGCCGGATGAGGCACGTGTTAATGTACGTGGGGCCACCTATGGCCGTGTGTCGTGAAATTTCACGTCAGATGGGTGCCAGAATGCGAACAGGTGTGCCACCCCAATGGCCTCCAGTCCAACGGTGACATGTGGGGGCAAAAATTCTCATGATCCCCGCCCCTTCAAAGGATTGTGCACGGAAACCAGGGTAGTGTATCGCCTAGGGGGTCAAGAGACTTCATTTGATGGGGGTAATCTTTATTTTCCCATGTGCTTTATCTCAAATGTGTTTCATCCTCTTCTGGTCCTATCGCTGGACACCTGCAGCATGTTCTGCAGCCTAAACACATACATTGCTTATGGCATATTTATGAAAACCACATGTACAACTAAGACAACCATCCAGCTGGTGCACAAGAAATATCAACACTTATACAAAAATATCTACGTTTTAATCGAGTTATCTGGAACCAAAAGTAGTATACAAATTGCATACTTTTGTTAGTTTCTTTTATTCTGGGAAGGAGTTACCATCTTTATTCAATATTCAATGCACATCTTTATATAATTTCTTAATTGTTTGTTGGATCATGAATTTATGATTTCACACAGTCATCACACCCTTTCATATTCCCTTGGAGCAAGTTAGTTGCAATGAAGTATCAACATCAAATTGGTGAAATGGAACCATTCTGAAAACTTGGAGCAAGTAATACACATAGTGGTCTTCCACATGAACTTTTTTTTGGAGAAGAGTAATCCACTGGTTGGAATAACTCACATCATATTACTACTAGAGAAAATTATGTTGGTGCCATTACAAACATCATTATTTTTGAAAATATTGTCTCATGTGGTTTTCGTGCAATCAGGTATGCAGAGAACACGTGATGACCTGGAGAAGAAGCTACATGATTCAAATACAACACCAATGTTTTTTCCACTTGAATTTTTGAAGGCCATCACATGTGATTTTTCCACTGAGTCGGTACTAGGTGAAGGTGGGTTTGGAGTGGTTTACAAGGTATGGGCAATTCTGTAAAACACTGTGTTTCAAATGTTGGTAATTAAACCAATTAAAGATATTTGTACACAATATAAAGAGTGGTTTAACTTACGACGCAGGGAGTTCTTCGAAGTGGCAAAGTTATTGCTGTGAAGAAGCTTTTTGAAATCCGTCTAAAAGAGGACACATTCCAGAATGAAGTACGCTATCTTATGGGGATTAAGCACCAAAAAATAGTTCAGTTCCTAGGTTATTGTGCGGAATCAAGTTGGGAAGCGATAGAGCAACCTAGTGGTAGTGGAAAATTTATTTTTGGTGAATTACCGAAAAGGTTGCTCTGCTTCGAGTACGTATGCAACAAAAGCCTCGACAACCATATTTCTGGTATGTTTACTGAACACAATACTGTTGAACGGAGTATGATCATATGTATGGTAGTATCTACTCTACCAGGAATATTGTTAGTATTTTATTTCTTGCTATATGCCTTTCCATAAAGACAAAAATACACATCAGTCTCTATATCTTTGGACACAGATACAAATCGGTCACTATCTTCGGGCCACTGGCATAATAGAATCTACTACTTCTGTGAACAGATATAAGACGTTTTAGGGCAAAAAGTAGTAACCTAAAACGTCTTATATTTGTTTACAGAGGGAGTATATATCAACTGCTATAGCCCACTGTCGATCACTCGAACACAAAGTGGTGTTGTTACAGGAAAATTAGGCATCATTTTTCATGGCAGGCTGTACAACTTTCTTTAAATGAAGTATCTAGGAACATAGATTATAGATTACGAGTACAAAAACCTAAGAGTATTGCGGGTGCATACCCCATACTTCCCAACAACTGAGAAAACTAGGTTCCTTGTACTAGTAGCGAAGTGTACATGGGCTGAGAATCTTTTTTTCTCTTGTTTATCAATGTCTATAGATGAATCTTCAGGCCTTGAGTGGAATATGAGATACGAGATAATTAAGGGGATTTGCAATGGGTTGCATTTCCTTCATGAAGAATGTCATATGGTTCATCTCGACCTTAAGCCTGAAAATATATTGATGGACTCTACTATGATCCCAAAAATCGCTGATTTTGGTTTATCGAGGATCTTTGGTGAGCAGCAAACACGAATTGTCACTGATAATCGTGCGGGAACATGGTAAACTATGCCTCTTGCACCTCCCTGGTTTTTGTTTTCCTTGGTTATTTTGCATCTCTTTGTTTATGTTTGTATTGGCTTCTTACTTCTATTTTATTTTGTAGTGGATATATGGCACCAGAATACTTAATCCGAGGTGTAGTCTCAAACAAGGCAGATATATTTAGTCTGGGTGTCATACTCATAGAGATAATAACAGGTGACAGGGACTATCCATATTTCCATCATGACCGTTCCCAGCGTGATGCCACAACTTTCCAGCAGTTTACAGAGAAAGTGAGATGAATTAATTAACAGTCTTTGCACATATACAATCATTCAGCTCACGTGTTGCAAGTTTGTAGGTTCTTGAAAATTGGAGGAATAGATTCACATCCACACCAAAGTATACAAAGGAAAAATATGCGCACCAAGTAAAGCAGTGTGTCACCATAGCCCTAAAATGTGTGGATCCTAGTATGGAGAAAAGACCTACTGCAAAGCATATAATCCAGGTGTTTAATGTAGCAGACCAGGTATGCTGAACATTGTATATAATGTCATAATGCAATTTCTAGGAAAGATTTTACATGAATAGTTTACACACAACAGTCCTAGTATGTCTACATATGTCCGTCCTAATGTTCCATTTTTCCTTTTTAATGAATGTGAATCAACCCAAATTTACCATAGCAAAATCAAGGTCTGACAGCTTGGCTTTATGTATGTGTGTGCGTGTGTAGATGGAAACTCACGAAGAGTTGCCATCAGTCGTGCAGTGCGTAGACAAGTTACTCGCACTAAACACTACTGGAAGCAAGGATCTCACGCCCATGAGTGCCACTGAAGAAATGTTGATCATCAAAGCAGCTACTGGTAAACAAGTGGATGAGGCCAAGTCTGAGGGTTTGTTACCGATGCCTACAATAGAGCCGAGCACAATCAGACAGAGTTATCAAGAGGGAGTAAAGGCATGTAATGAGCGACAATCAGCCACTGAGACCGAGTCTGAGGTAAGTACCTATGATACTAATTTCTTGTTATGTAAACCCTATATGAACAAAGTATTCTTATTCAAAGTCTTGTATTGTGCAATTTAGGATGACAACATATGATCTCACATTGTATTTTACCTAATGAAACGGAATTAATTATTGAGCCATGACAAATATGATTTGCCTAGGAAGTTTGGAAATAAAAATGACAGTCCCTTGCTCCGTAACATAATGCACCCTGTTTTATGTTTCGTCAGGACAAATACACTACTACTATGTAACTTTTGTGGTTTAAAATCATAACCACAAATAGTTACTTTGATGTTTCGTGAATGAAATTGGGCAGAGATTGATTTTAAAATTAATTGATTAGATTGGCTTGCTCATCTGTTCCATTTTATTTTCATGAAGTATTTTTTGTGGAAAATTTTCATGAAGTATTAAATCAACAACGAAAAAATAACTGTTGTTTACAAGTCAGAATTTTGTTTGTGGACAAGTTTAACCAAATGTGAAGAAAACTTATTTGCAAAAGCTAGGGCTAATTAATTACCGGCTAGTATAAATGAAACTTGTGATTGCTCAAAAAAAATGAAACTTGTGTATAATGAATAATGGTTCAAGTAAGACTAATAGTATGACAGAAATTTAATGAAGACAAATGTCAGAAAGGGAAACAAGGCATTAGAGGTCTGATATTTTGAGTAAACATCTTTTTTGCTCAGCTGGGAGCCTGGGATAAGTGAACTATTGGTTACCGGGAGAGTTTCATCCTTGTTTGACCAAAATTATTCATGCCATATAATGCACCAGAAAGAAAGCATTTGATTGTCTATTCTTGTGAGTCTATGACTTCACTGCTCGTCTGTCTGTCCTATATATGACTTACAAAGCTATGTCTATTTCATTTTTGTTCAGCACAAATAATCGTTTATTTTATAGTTGATTCCTGGATAAGTAAAATAAACATCCCGTAACAAGTCATTTTTTCTAATTGATTTTAATACCACAATGTAAACAATAGTCGTGTTATGTATATATATTACAGAAAAACAAGGAACATAGATGTAGCTTGTTGTACCAATCATTCCGAAAATTGCCTAGGACATTCACAACTTTCACTTTTACTAGCCGATGAACATTGGTTGTCAAGCTGAGTTGGCAACATATGTGGATTTTTTTATTCTTTATGAGAAAGCAACATATGTGGATTTTAAGCTGACGTGGACATATGCCCTACCTGTCATCTTCATCCCCATCCCATCTTCTTCATCCCTCCTCTCTACCCTATCCTCTGTCGTCTCCTTCTAAGAATTGCACAGGGTTGAAGCTGGAGACTTGGAGCTCGTCCAGTGATGAGAGGGTGCGGCCGGGATGAAGCCCCGCACTGAGAGACCCATTGGTGCGGTAAATCTCGGCAGCTATAGCACCACTCGGTCTCCAGCTTGTTGCTACTTGGCATGCACAGAGAGGTCAGTGTTGCTCCACCGCCGGGACCCTGGCCACGCCGATTGAGTCCTTGAGCAACCTTCGCTTGGTGTCCGACAACCCAATTTTCTTTTGTCTTGCTCCTTTCCCATACAACCATTATAGCATCTCTAGTTTTTTTTTGAGAAACTATAGCATCTCTAGTCGGTCCATCAAAATTGGTTGGAGAGTAAAAATTCACTTTTGACGGGCTAAACTGGACCTAGCCGGTCCCTTATGGGCTTCAAAGGAGAGGCCACCCTTATATTTATTCATGCGTGGCCACTTCTCCGGATAATTTTGGCCCTTCCAGTGCATCAGCCCTCTCCTCTGTTCGCCCACTGACATCACCCCCATCGAGTTCCTTGCCTCCAGCGACCACCCCACAACCCTGCAAACCTTGGGCCGCCAAATTCCGGTGAGAATCCGGCGGTCTATTTTTGTCGACTTCTCTGACTTCTACATCCATGTCAGTGCTCCTCCTCCCTCATCATCCCTAGCCCGGCGGCGCTCCTCCCATTGTCCACGACCATAAGCAAAGCTGCTGCATGATAGAGGACACATATATATAGAGAGAAAAATTTAAATGTATAGGAAGAAACATAGAGGGAGAGTACGCCAGTTGCCATTGTCGATTTCAATGAATCCTTGTGCTTTGGACGATGACATTGTGCCACCAGGAGAGGGACGAGGCGAAGAACCCATTCAAACGAGGAAGCACCCAGGCCATGGTCTATGGTGGACGAATGTCATCTACTTTGTCGACAACTTCGTCACACACCTACGTCGCGCACGTTTAGACCCTGTGAATTACTTTTCTGAAGCATCTATCCTAGGTACTAGCTTGCTCTGAAATTCAACTAGTGCCAAAAAGTAGTAGTTGGTCGCGTGAAAGGAAGAATAAAGAAAAAAAAGGAAGAAAAAGGGGGAGAGGGGCTTACATGTGGGGTCTGGTTCATTTGAGGACTTAAGTTTGAGAGTTCAGTTAGGTTCGCGTGAAGGAAGAAAAGAGGGAGAGGAACAAATATAAGAAGTTAAGTATAAGGGGTCCTATGAGGGGCAAAATTATAAGGGACCAGCTAAAGGTCTTCTTAGTCTGACAACCCAATTATCTACGCATGTGCGACCATCGTGTCTTTATTAGCCGACTATATAACCTCCGTGTTGCAAGGGAATTGCCCCAGGGCCCTTCATGGATAGTTCGGGAACCTACCACGTGGAACTTGATCCCCAAGCTCTTCAGGTGGCCTCAGCCATTTAGCCGAGCACTCTGCATGAGCCCATCAGCTCCTGTCGCACCAAGTTGAGCGCACGGCTCACCAGCCAGCTCCATCGACGCTCCGCACAGTCTGGTCGGCACTCACCATCCAGCACCATCCTCACAAGCTCAAGTGGACATCAATCAAACGTGCCAAACATGCGTGCATCGTCAAAAGTAGGCCTAATACAAAAGGATATATACATGTTTTTGTGTGAGCCGTTCGCATAGGGGTACTCCTGCACGACGCTGGAGAGCATGGGGGTGTTGGCCATGGAAAGGGTTAGGTTGGCCATGATATCCACGTAGAGCATCATGGTCTCCCCACGACAGCGGGCCAGACTACAGCGGCCTTGTTGTCACCATCCATGAACTTGAATGACATGTCGCACAAGTGTGGGAGGAAGCTAGACAGCACAGCGACGAAACCACGTAGCCGCCCATGCCGACGAGCTAGAGGTGGTGCAACAGGCGTCCTCGCCTCCTTGGCGCCCTCAGCGCCACCATTTGGCGCCCGAGCGCGAGCGTTTGGAGGTTTGAAGTATATGTTGTCGCCCTACGAAGAGTTGTCACATCATGTCATGCTCCATCACCATGAAGGTCACGGGACGGCTCGATATACTTGTTCACGCGGCCGTGCTTGCTGCACTCATTCCAACTCCCACCGCTAGTGACGTGCCTCTCACCTTGCGGTCCACCACCAGCGGGTAGTACATCGATGCCCTTGTCTGTTGTGGCTACACGCTTCTAGTGTAGGTCACAGCCGTGGTGGCGTGCGCCGCCGTTGAGGCGTTGCTGCAGCCGGGCATGCACGCGCTTGCATGGGCGGCCCTTCGGGTGCTAGTGCTACTAGTCGCTTGTGTGGGTCGCTTGTGGGTGATTGCCTTCGCGCGATGATTCACGGCAAATCAGTGTTATGTGTCAAGGACATTGTTCCAATAGTGGTAGTTCCACTTCCACACCATGTTGAGCGCATGGCGAGCCAACTACTCTCTTCGTTTCTAAATATAAATCTTTCTAGAGATTTCACTATAAACTCCACACCGAGCAAAATAAATGAATCTACACTCTAAAATACGTCTATATACATTCGTATGTAGTTTGTAGTGCAATCTCTAAAAAGACTTATATTTAGAAACGGAGAAAGTACTAGGCTGGCGCTCACCAGCCAGCTCCATCTACACTCCACGCACTCTACTCGGCACTCATCATCCAGCACCATCCTCACCACGCATACGTCGAGCACACATGGCAAACGTGCAGCGCCTATCTGCTTAAAATCTTGAATATGTTATGGATTGTGGACGACAGCATTGGCATCGAGCTGGGCGGACGACATGACCACGGGCATCAGGGTGCTCCCGCATGAGCACCATGAGCATGCGGATGTGGGTGGCGAGCGTCACGTTGGTCGTGGGGATGTGGGTTGTGGTCTCCACGTAGAGTATATTGGTCTCCTCGGGTCTCCTACTGCGCCCCCACGGCCGATGACGCGCCTGTCGCCTAGCGGTTCACCGCAGGGGCGCGTGATACAGGGCTACCCTGGTCTGTTGCAGCGCCCTGCTAGTGCATGTCACAGTGGCAGCGTCGGCGCCGGCGAGGCGCTGCGGCTGCGCTTGCTTTAGCGGCCCTGTTGCTGCTAGCACTGGAGGTGCTGGTCGCCTGTGTTGGTCAGGTGGATGGTGGGTGTTCACCTTTGTGCTCTCCATTTGCCATCTGTGCGACGATTCCAGGCGGCTTTTCCACGCTTGATTATGCACACATGAACCGATGCCCACCAGTTAGTTTTGTTGTTAAAATGAACTAATAAGCTAATCAGTGCTATGTGTCATGACATTGTTCCGATAATGTTATGTGGCAAAAAATAGAAGTTGGTAGTTCCTTCTAAATTAGTATACTTTATAAAATGATTCGAGTTGATCAAGGTAGAAAGAGATCCCAGTTAAATTCATCAAGAAGCCTAATTGCGTTGAGCGCATAAGAATACAGCTTCATAGACGAGTTTAATTGTACTGATGCTTCCTTTTGTCTCTCTTCTTTGATGCATTGGCGACATAGCAGACAATCCAACCTTTAATACAGGTATTCATTTTTTTGTTTTCATTTCTTCTCTTCCCAAGATCTTCCATGTTGACAGGAATGTTGTTTGATCAGATTATAGATTATGGAGCAGGGCCAGGGATCATCACATGCATAGATGCAAATCAGACAGAGCCATTGTAAGTGTGTACGAAAATATGGGCATTTGAATCTTTAAACTTAATTTTCGAGTGAGTGCATTGGATTTGACTATCCTGCTTTTATACCTTCTTATGATACAGGATTATGACAGGTGACACTAGGGGGTGTGTTAAGATATGGAACTACGACACGGAGTCGCAGGCAAGTTACGGTATTGCTTCTGCGCTAGTATTTTGGGTAAGAAAAGAAAATTATGGCCGCTTTCCCTTTGCATCAGAAAGATGCTCGTGGACCAAGCATTTAGTTCATAAGTACATATACAGATTCCGTTGATTGCCAAATGGCAGGAATAGTCTATGTTTGGTGATGGTCGATGGGAGCCGTACCATAATGTTGAAGTTTTTTATTACAGCCAATAAAACACCACACCATATTGGCAAATGTTTTTGCCCACTTTTTTTCCATCGTAGTATTTCAATTCATTTACCAATATGTAAATGTAAGGAGTCGTCACCAAAAGCTCAACTTTTGTTGGCAAATATACCAATCTTCTGTTTACATTGGACCAACAAGTGACTCATTTATGTTTACTGGCAGAAAATGGTCGCTTTGATTGAGGTCTCACATGCAGAAGGTAAGCTCTCTGACTTCTTAACATAATTTTCTTCCACCATATGTATAGACGTACAATGATATCCTAATCAGACGATTGCCCTCACTGCAGTATGCAAAGTTAAATTTATTGCACGAAAGCGGTGGCTTGTGGCTGTGTCAGATGATTGTGTCGTCCATATATACAAGTATGAAAAGGAACTCGAAAAGGTCACGACTTTCAAAGCTCATGATTGTGACAATCCCCGGATTTCATTAGACGTTCATCCGACCCAGCCGTATGTGCTGTCAGGTTGTTTTGGGCAAATAAAGCTTTGGGACTGGAACCAGGACTGGAATTGCATACAGACATTTGAAGAACACTCAGATGATATTAGGGAACTAAAATTTAACCTAGAGGACACCAACAGTTTTGCAAGTGCTTCCTATGATGATACAGTAAAGGTTTTGCTTTCTCTCTCTTATTTGTTTGCTAAGTAACCTTTTTGATGCAGTGATGAAGATGGAGTACGTTTCATTTTCTACTGTACCATGACTGGAAGCTCTTATGGTTGGTGTTCAGGTTTGGAGTCTTGATTCTCTCAAATCCAAGTATACTCTCTCTGGGCATTTGGGAACCGTGTACTGCCTCGATTTCTTCACACGTGATGGTCAACAGTATTTGATTAGTGGCTCTTTTGATGGCACTGCCAAGGTCGGCTATTATGCTGGAAAGTACATTAATACAATATGCATCTAGCATTTCTAATATATGAGTGCCTTGTTTTTTTAATTCAAAACAGATATGGGACTTGCACAAGAAGGAGTGTGTTCATACACTCGAACATGAGTGTCACGTCTATCCCGTCTTTGCCCATCCCAGTCTTCCAGTTCTAATTACAGCTACAAGCAATGGTGCTGTTCGTGTGTGGAGCTCCACTAATTTCAGGTAAGCACGATACAACCACGCCTCGTCATGTCTCGATACAACCACGGCCGGATCTCCCTGCTCCGGCCTCCGCGCCATCTGCTATCTCCATCCCTCCCGCAAGAAAAAGCAGGAGTGGAACATGAGCCCTCGCAACCTTGCGTCGTCCATCCCGTCCTCATCCCCAGCAGCCCCGTCGGCCACCCTGTCGCCGCCCCGCGTCCCAGCCAGCTCGTTGCCGCCGCCTCCTGCGGATGCCTGCTGGCAGGGCGTGTGTCGTCCTATCGGTCCCCTCGTCCGCTACTTGGTCTGATCCGGATCGGGAGCACCTGTCCGCGCCGCTGCAGTTGGCGCTAAGCCGCCCAGGGGGGTAGAGTGTCCGTGCAGGTGCTGGAGGAGCCTCAGGCCAAGCCTGCGCCCGCAAGGCTCCTCGTGCCTGCTGCTCCGACTTCACCTGTCCTTTGTCCGCGCCCCCGCCTTGCCTTCGTGGTGGCAGCGGCTGCATCTGCCACTCCGGCTGTGCTGCGCACAGGTTCATCGTCCGCGTCTGCTCCTGATGTTCCTGCCATGCTGAGAGCCGGCTCTGCAGCCGGTGGCGGCGGTCCCTCCGGCCATCGCCTTTGCAATGTGTTTGCCCAGTGACCCCTTTGGTCCGGAAAATGCGGTGGTGAACATGGCTGTGCAGGATGGGTCTCCAAATGCTCTGGTAGCTGGCTCCCAATGCGTTCTGCAGCTTGTCCCAAGAGCTCCACTCGCACCGCTCTAGTTGCCGCCTGCACCGTCCGCGAAGCCACCCACTACCGCCGGTCTGTCATGCACTGTCCCGGTGGCCTCTCCTATGCGTCCTGGTTGGGGACTGGCTTGGATGCCTCAGCAGGAAGACGACGCCCTTTGATCCCATGTGTTGCGCGCCAGCAGCTCGTGGGAAAATGTTGGGAGATTGGCACCTCATCACCGGGCGCCGCCGTTCGCCATCTACAAACACCTTCCCTCGGCCCGCTTCGATGCCCGGCCTGCTCCTCCAGCGTGGCTCAGGGATCGATTCTTTCAGTGTCTCTCCAAAGGTCATCATGCCCATTCTTGTAGGGACCCAATCCGGTGCACGGAATGCCTTCATTTCGGCCACAAAACTGCGTTTCTGCTATCAACACCTCTCCGATCTATCTCCGAAGTCACTTCATGATGCCTCATCGCCTACCCTACCACCTGCACTGGAGATTGTCGCAACGCCGGTGGATGTGCAATTGCAGCCCGTCCTGGCAGAGGAGACCGAGCTGCTTCGCACTGAGCTTCGCAGCTGCCTTTGCATAAGTTGGGAGTGTTTGTGGAGAGCGGATGCCGCTCTCACCAAACTAAAGGTTGTGCCCGTTGTGCCTTTGCTGCTCGAGCTTCCGATTGGGTCTTCATTTGAAGCGGAAGCAAGCCTTCATGGACATTTTCTCGCCTCGTGCTACATCATGTCCGTCGTCAATGCCTGTGTTGTTGACTGCCTCTGGGTGTGTAGTCATCGACGAGGTCGTGGCTCTAGTGATGCCTATTATGCCTGAGCTGCAGGAGCGTTGTAGGGAGCCCACTTCACCTCTTTCATTGGTGCTTCCGAAAGAGATGGAGCAGGTGGTGTCGGTGGGTGACGAGGTTGATGAGGTAGGTGCGTTGGCACCTAATTCTGAGGCGCAACTGCTGGGTTCGCCGCTGCCATGTGAACAACTGGAAGCGCCTGAGTCTGTCATGTCGGCGGTACCCATGGCTTAGGATGTTGTTGCAACGGTGTCTCTGAGGGACAAGGTTGATGACATTCTCTTTGAGATACAACTTGGCAGCTTGCTCACGTGTTTGGAGGCGGCCAGCCCTGTATCTGGCACGACGATTGTGGAGAAAGCACTCTGGAAGAAAAGCAAGGGTGGCGCCACAGGAAAGGCGTATGTAGCTGCTTCGTGGATGGCACTTAGTCTCTTGGGCGGTCCTTATGGCATGACTTGTCTCCGTGAATTTGGATGTGTTCATGGTCTTCAATCGAGGCACTTTTGTTAGGGGTTTCCTTGCGGTGTAGCAGTGTGGGGATTGGTGGTAGTTGCGTGTTGGGTATGGTTGTAGGGCTGGTAGTGCACTTCTGGGGTTGCATGCTCTATGCTTTTCTTAGGGGGTTTCCTTGCGGTGTAGTAGTGTGGGGATTGGTGGTAGTTGCGTGTTTGGTATGGTTGCAGGGCTGATAGTGCACTTTTAGGGTTGCATGCTCTATGAGTAGTCCGTATGTGGTTGATTTGTGTCAGTTTTTTTACTGGTTTTTCGTTAATTAACTAAACAATTCTCTTTTGCTTAATTAATCGGTGAGGCAAATCTTGACTCGGTATTACAAAATGCTGGTTAGCCCCTCTCTATATATATGCTAAAGCAGTGAGTGCTTCATATTTCCCAGGCTGAAGAAAAAGCTTGAGGTCGATTCGCCGGTTCGTGGTTTCGCATGTTTGACGGGGTCAGAAAGGTAATCGATGTTTCCAATTCTTTTTTATTTTTGTATTATCCCGTTGTTGTCTGCTTAGTTATTTTGATGTTGTACTCCTTTACATTGATTTCGTTTCCTAAGATTCCAGACGAGTAAAGTGTGTGCTCTTTCATCTATCAGGGTCGCAGTTGCACACTTTTATGGAGTGTCGGTGATGAAAATTGGTGATGAAGAAGCACAAGGTGGTAGCGAAGGCAACAACGAGAATTCCGTATCAGCTATAGAGTATTGAAATATCGAACGCCAATCGAGAAAACTGCTAGTACGTTCCACGGTATAGTGCATTTTTCTATTAAAATGGTACATATACCACGTCTACGCGGTTTTTTTTTTTTCGAAACGGCTGTGTATGCTAACACGGGCATGATGAATTTCCAGATCCCAAAATTTGAACGATTGACAGGAGATGAATGGCAGCTGTCCAAGCAGAGCTGAAGCAGGTGGCAACCATATGTGTGCACAAGATAACGATTTTATGAAGATTAGTTTTTGTTGTTCTTGAAGAAATTGCACTTCCGTCTGTACGTGCGTGATGACTGGTGACTAAAGCGCATATAAACGTGTAAACTAAAAATCTCAATATTGAAAAGGAGTGTCAGTGATTAAAATTCGTGATGAAGGACAAGATGGTAGTGAAAGGCAGCAGCAACGAGAGTTCCATATATAGCAGATACTCCTATAGATTATTAGAATATCCAAAGCCAATCGAGAGGACTGCTAGTACGTCTAAGCAGTCTATGCTAGCACGTCAACTCTCTAGCAGGTGGCGTGCAGAAGCTGCTGATTTCACCAAGATAACTTTTTCTTGTCCGAGGAGATTGCACTTGCGTGCGTCACGACTGGTGCCTGAAACGCATATAAACGTGTAAATTAACAATCGCATTGCTGAAGATCCATTCGTACTACCATAATAATTGACTGATAGATTGCACGTGGACTAATTTCCTTGCCGTTAGTTAAAGCACGGTTAGGTAAAGGTAAGCAGCATGCATGCACATGTTGTGAGCTCGTAAATCTAATTTAGCACACGTCGAGCGGGCAGCCGTATATTTTTAGAAAAAGTTTTTGTCCTGTTTTTCGCCTCGTCCCGTTCATCTACCTCCCCACGTGTTGACCGGTTCCTCTACACTCCTAATGTGTTCATCATGTGTTGACTGTGCTTTATTGCAATCGGTCACCATCTCTCGTCTATATATGAGGCAGTTAGAATTCTCAAAGAAGAAAAGGGTTCAAAATCCTGTCCAAGAGCTAACATATAACCTAACTGGGACAACTAAGCCCCGAGCCTTCGAGCCCAATTTACAAGCAATCCATTGTTTTGGTCATGTAGGTCGCATATGACGTTGGATTGAGATGATACAAAAACCAAAATTGTTCTCCTCGACGGGGCACACAACTTTCATGTTCAACAGTTTTCCATTTGACGTCGCTTTGGTGGTGATCTCGTGTAGGCAAAACTGCGTAACATATTACGATGTTTCCGTTAAACACGGAGCATCTGGGTTCTGAGACAATGTTTTTGTTAAGACACACCCTCTAGGCCCAATTCTGTGCAGATCACTATTTTGGCACTTGAGGTTGCCGATGACTCATCTTCAGATAATCCAAAATGCAAAGTTGCGCGCTTCGACGAGACGCATAAATTTAGTGTTGTGCACTTGTTCATTTGAGATCATTTTGAGGGTGATTCTGGGCAAGCCAGAATTGGTCGTGAACACACGATTCTTCGAATCGACATAACCTTTGGTTCTAAGATCTTATTCGAGCTTTCTTTATATCCGTATATCCATTCGGACAATCTTGAAGAGAGCTATCTAGTAGTGTTCCTTCCTATTTTCACTAGTAGAAAAAGGGTCAAATGTGAAGCACAATAGTGCCAGTTGGAATTTCAGCCGGCACTAATGTGTACACTAGTGCCGGTTCGTGGCGGCGATCAATAGCACCGGTTCGTGGCGAACCTTTAGTACCGGTTCATGCCACGAACCGGTACTAAAGAGGCTGTGTCCGCCTGCGGTCAGGCTATGGCCCCACCATCACCATTTAGTGCCGGTTCGTACCACGAACTGGTACTAATGAGGTTATGGCAAGCTGTTTTTAGTCCCACCTCGCGAAGTGAGAGGGACTAGGAGCGATTTATAAGCCCTGAGTGCAGAGACGATGAAGAAGAGGCTCAATGCTCATGTTGCTTAGCTTCAAGCCTTCAGGAATACGGTAGACTGCACGGAGCTATGCGCAGTGCAGTTTACACTATTCCGAAAGGCTTGAAGCAAATTAACGAGCATTGCACCTCTTTTTTATTTTTAATAACTTATTACAACTCCGGACTTCTTCTGTTATGGCAAAAACTAATTGCACGTCGGCATTTCTTTTTTTTAAGTTATAACTCCAGACTTTGACTATCAAGTTTTGCAGAAAAGAAAAAATAGCAGAAAAGAAGAAAGCAGAAAAGAAGAAAAACTATAGCTGAAAAGAAAATAACTATATAAAAAACTACTCAGAAATAAATAGAAGAAAATAAATAT